CATTGGTAAGACTCAACTTTAATACTGAACTTATTTTCAACATGTCAGATGATGGCAAGGAATGCATTGGTAAGACTCAACTTTAATACTGAACTTATTTTCAACATGTCAGATGATGGCAAGGAATGCATTGGTAAGACTCAACTTTAATATTGAACTTATTTTCAACAAGTGTCAGATGATGACATAGAATGCATTGGTAAGACACAACTTTGTAATTTTAAATTTTCTTTCAAAGTGTCAGATGATGACATGGAATGCATTGGTAAGACACAACTTTGTAATTTTAAATTTTCTTTCAAAGTGTCAGATGATGACATAGAATGCATTGGTAAGACACAACTTTGTAATTTTAAATTTTCTTTCAAAGTGTCAGATGATGACATGGAATGCATTGGTAAAACATGACTTTAATATTTTGATATTGAGTTTTTCAGTAGAATGAAAAACTTCAGTAACACTAATGGTATACTCTATAAGTAAAGAAAAGAAAGGGTTTAGATTATTGGAGATAAAATAAAGCATCAACTCAGCAAAGAAAATACTTCTTTTCTTTCCTCTTTTGGAGAAATAAAATATCTCTGATAGAAATAGTAATTTTATTAATACATTGCACCTTGTAGCAAATACCAGAAACAATATATTAAGTTTTTAAAGACTTCTAACTTACATGATAGGCATGGATGCAAGCCACACAGTTGAGTAACATCATGCGTGTGACTATACTTCTCAGCAGTCCCCTCTTTGCCTCAGTCAGCTAGAATCAGTGATCTAATAAAAACATGTAGAAATAAAAAATTATATATGAAGAAATTTTGACATTTCTTACAAATTGTTTATATTTAAGATTTGTATTTGTTTAACTAAATTACATATGGCTGGTTGCACTGAAAAGTTTACTTCCTTCAGTAGATAGTAATAGCTATTATCTATCAGTTCCTGTTAAAGAAGAGTTTATATAGTGTAGATTATAAAACTAATTAGATGATCAGGCTTTATATAACAGTGTGTTTGAAGACAGTTTACAATATCACGTGGGTTTTTGAAAACATAAAGAGTATAGCAGTTGAAAACGTTATATTGTAGTTTAACTGAATTTACAAAGTTATGTGAAAATTGTTTGTGTCTAGCGATGTTTATAAAGTATAAATTCCACAACAGGGTGCGGATCTCATTAAAATAACTTGATATTATGATTGGGTAAATCATGCAGTACAATGAAACACTACAAAGGATATAATTTCAGAACTTGCAAAAAGTTTTTTATATTAATTCCAAACAAAAGTACCCATCCTAACTTAATCTATCAATTTAAATAATTTCATAGACTTTAAAAAGGTAATTGTTGAACATTTTAGTCATGCTAAGAACCGTTCAACAATAACATACGGTAAATCTACACGTCAATTCTTTGAGTTACGTCACATTTTGAAATGTGAATGATAGTGTGATTAATTCCTTGCAATTTAGTGTAGAATATCCTGCTTGAGAAATAAAATTTGGCATCAGCATTATTCATGCCAGTTCTCCCGTCATTTAAAAAGTGAAAGTTGAATTTTGCCTGCATGCACAGCTTTTCAAATGGGAGACAGACAACATGAGTCCCAATATATATATATATATATATATATATATA